TATGCCAAGAAAATGTTCTCAACCTTGTGTTTTCTGTGGTAGACAGATCCGAATTGGCTAACTCTGTCAAGTTTATCGTTTTGCTGTTTTTATGTTCCTGCTCTATGCTGTGGGTAATGCCATTATTTTTCCACAGTAGCTAGATTTTTCCACACAGTTAGCTTTTCACTTCTAAGCTTGAATTAAGTCTAAGACATTGATAAAATAGTTCAACTCTTTTGTCAGAATTGAACTGAGTTCCAGTCTCCAGGATTCCCTTAATCTAACATATACACATTGATAGTTTGAAGTAGGATATAAGTGTTGTTCTTAGCTCAATTAAGGTAGGAAATTTCGCTTCATTTGCTATAGCAGTCTATAGCAAGACCCAGCCTGTCAAGTGTATGTCAAGTAATGACATTTCCTTTCTGGTGACTCACACCACAATCATCCAAACTATTCTTTTTTTTTTTAAATCTTCCATACTATTACTTTGGTGAAAAGTTAGCTGAAATTGACCCCACCAAGGGCCCTGTAATTGTGATCACTTAAGCAAGTAGTTTATACCTTAGAAAGTTGTAAGTATAGGCTTTCTCATTAGAGTTTGTTCTTTAGAAAGAAGTTCTCTATGTGACTTCATTAATTCATCTATCCATTTATTCACTTACAAATATTTCTTCTCTCCCTCTTCCTTCCCTCTCTTTCTTTCTCTCCTTTCCTTCTTTCCCTCTATCCTTCCCTCCTTCCCTTCTTCTCGGTGTCCTTTTTGTTTATTCATACCCTTATTCTTTCTCTCATGCTGAGGATCAAACACAGAACCTGTATGTTGAAAACTTTGCTGCTAAGCTACATCACAACTTTTTTTTTTTTTTTTTGGATCCATTTGTGGGGCCTGAACTTTGGGCCTGGGCGCTGTCCCTCAGCTCTTCAGCTCAAGGCTAGCGCTCTACCACTTGAGCCACAGTGCCACTTCCGGCTTTTTTCTTTTTGCTTATGTGGTGCTGAGGAATCGAACCCAGGGCCTCATGCATGCAAGGCAAGCACTCTACCACTTAGCCACCTTCCCAGCCCACAACTTTTTTTTTTTTTTTTTTTGAGAAATAGTCTAGATACAAAGCTCAGGCTGGCCTTAAATTCTTTTTTTTTTTTTTTTTTTTTGGTCGGTCGTGGGGCTTGAACTCTGGGCCTGGGCGCTGTCCCTCAGCTCTTCAGCTCAAGGCGAGCACTCTACCACTTGAGCTACAGCGCCACTTCCGGTTTTCTGGTGGTTTATTGGAGATAGGAGTCTCACGGTCTCTCCTACCCGGGCTGGCTTTGAACCGCGATCCTCAGATCTCAGCCTCCTGAGTAGCTAGGATTATAGGCGTGAGCCACCAGCGCCCGGCTTGGCCTTAAATTCTTGATGCTTCTACCTCAACCTTTTGAGTGCTGGAATGACAGGCATGTACCCTTGTATCAAAATAACAAATATTTTTTGAGCATCAGTTATATGCACCATGTCTCTCATATGGTGGTAATGGAATAATTATCAAATAAATGAATGCATAAGAATCTGTGGGTTTATTTTGCTGAACTTTGATTTTCCCTTTTAAATGAATTACACTTATTTAAATTCTCCCTTGAGTCTACCATATTTCAGTTAATACACTTGTATACACTTGTAAACCACCCAGTGTATTTACTTGTAAGTAAATCTAGCTTCCACATATAAAGAAAAACATGCATTGACTCTCTGGACCTGCATTACTTCACTTGACATAATTTTTTCCAGGTCTTTCCATCTCTTTATAAATGGTATATTATCATTTTTTCTAATGAATGAGTAAAATTCCACATTTTCTTGATGTAGTCCTCCACCCAGGGGCACATGGGCTGATTCCATATCTTGACTATAGTGAATAGTGCAGCAATGAACATGGCTGTGCTGGTAGTTTTTCTGTATTATGGTTTGCAATCTTTGGGGTAAACATCAGGAAGAGGGTACTCCAAAGAGGTGAGATGGGGTCAAGGGGAAAGAGACAAACAAATGAAGGGGAGAAGTGGATGAGAATGCAGTCAAGAATCTAATGTGTATCCTACAGAATTAAAAAGAATGAGGGAAAAGGTGGGTAGAGGACAGATGAGGGAAAGTGTTGAAAGGGGTGACATTAAGATATTTTGTATTCATAACCGCTCGGCTTAATGGCAACTATTTTGTATAAGTACTTAACAACAACAACAACAACAATAATAGTAGATTCAGTGGGTTTGTAGATGCCAACCATATAGCAATGACAAACTAGAGACTTCATAGAATTTACAATTTAGTGAGGAAAGAACATAACTATTTTAAAAATGACATTCAATTGTGGATTAACATTTTACATTATATATTTGATAATTACGCAACTATTACTTAGCTCTCAATAAACCATGTTGTATGCTGAGAATACATAACAGGAAGTGAGGACAGATCTCTCTAGAGTATCTGTGTTGTTGTTGTTGTTGTTATGGTACTGGGCTTGAACTCAGGGCCTGGGCACTGTCCCTTAGCTTTTTTGCTCAAGGTTCACACTCTACTACTTGAACCATACCTCTGCTTCTGGCTTTTTGCTGGTTAATTGGTGATACCAGTTTCAATAACTTTCCTAATTGGGATGGCTTCTAACTGGAATCCTCAGATCTCAACCTCCTGAATTGCTAGAATTATAGTTATGAGCTACTTGTGCCCACATAGAAATGTTTTTTTTTTTTTTTTGTCAGTTATGGGGCTTGAACTCTGGGTCTGGGTGCTGTCCCTCAGCTCTTCATCTCAAGGCTAGTGCTCTACCACTTGAACCACAGTGCTACTTTGGTATTCTGGTGGTTAATTGGAGATAAGGGACTTACAGACTTTCCTACCTGGGCTGGCTTTGAACTGTGATAATCAGATCTCAGCCTCCTGAGTAGCTAGGATTAGAGGCATGAGCCACCAGCGCCCAGCAGAAGTGGTTTACCTTTTTTAAACAAGAACTACTTAAAAATAATAAAAATATTTAGAAAAAAGAAGATATTTAAGTTCAGCTATTCCACTGATAGCTTTTCTCTTCTTTCATTCCCTTCCTTCCTTCCTTCCTTCCTTCCTTCCTTCCTTCCTTCCTTCCTTCCTTCCTTCCTTCCTTCCTTCCTTCCTTTCTTGCTTTCACCAGTCCCAGGGCTTGAACTCAGGGTCTGCGCACTGTCCTTGAGCTTCTTTTGCTCAAGGCTAGGACTTTACCACTTGAGCCACAGTACCATTTCTGGCCTTTTCTTATGTGGTACCAACGAATCAAATCCAGGGCTTCAGGCATGTTAGGCAAGCACTCTATCACTAAGCCACATTCCTAGCCCCCTATAATTCAAAAAAATATTTTTTGTTGGTTGTGGGGCTTGAACTCAAGGCCTGGGTGCTGTCCCTGTGCCTCTTTGTGCTCAAGGCTAGTGCTCTATCACTTGAGCCACAGCACCACTTTCTCCACGGATAGCTTTTTATAAATATATTCTCAAAGATGGTCCTTATGATTATGGTCCTATATTGTTGTCATGGAGTACAAGATGGATATGTTAATAAACCTACCATTCTATAATATCTTTAGATTGAATATATTGGGTAAATATATGAATTTTCATTATTTTAAACAAAAATTGCACACATTCCAAATAATGCTTTAATGTAGACTGAAATTCCTAAATAAAGATTTTGAAAAGCAAAAAACAAAACAAAAAGGGGCTGGGGGTTTAGCCCAGTGGAAGGGCGCCTGCCGGGCACGCGCAGGGCCCTGGGTTCGGTCCTCAGCCCTGGAAAGAAAAGAAAAAGAAAAAAAAAGGAAAAACAAAACAAAACAAAACAAAATCCCCAAGAAGCTGGGTGCCAGTGGCTCACACCTGTAATCTTAGCTACTTAGGAGGCTGAGAACTGAAGATCATGGTTCAAAGCCTGTCTGTGAAATTCTAATCTCACGAAAAAGAACTGTGGCTTAAGTGGTAGTGCACTAGCCTTAAGCATAAAACCATAGGGATAGCACCCAGGCCCAGAGTTCAAGCTCCAAGACAGGCATGTGCAAAGGTGCACGCATGTGCACGCACGTGCTCTCTCTCTCTCTCTCACACACACACAATAAATAAGCATAGTATAAACTTGATTTTGATGGGGAACATTTATAACTCTCCTTACATCTCTCTTTTGTTTAATTGTAAAAATACCGTACAGAGGGGTTACAATTACATGGGCAAGGTAATGAGTGCATTTATCAAGCATTGTTGCCTCCTCCTTTGTTTCCCCTTCCCATCCCTTCCCATCTCCATCCCCCCCCACCGCTCCCCCCTCCCCCGCCCCCCTGTGCCAAAGTTATAAAGTTCCTTTTTCTCGAACTTTTTGACATAACGTCTTGTCCATCTCTTTGTTGCAATGGGTCCACATGTATCCCTATTTAAACAATTTGTTTTTTCCCTTCCCCTCCACAAATTATACCAACATCAAATACAGTGAAAACAGGGGTTATACCATGGGGGAGGGACATACAAAGCAACAAGGAAATATCTTATAAATATGTTAGAAACAATAGCAAGAAAGAAAAAAACATTTGAGTCTTTATCTTGGGGTTCATTTCACCTAACATCAACTTATCTGACCTTTTCTGCTTGACTCAGACATACACTAGTTATTGCAAATAAGGGAAACCATGGGACCTATGTTTCTTTGGACCTGGCTTACTTCACTTAATATAATTTTTTCCAAGCCTTTCCATTTCCTAACAAATGGGGCAATGCCATTCTTTCTGATGGAGGCATAGAATTCCATTGTGTATATATATCACATTTTCTTGATCCATTCATCTACTGAGGGCATCTGGGTTGGTTCCATATCTTAGCTATGCTAAATAATTCCCTTACATCTCTTGAGTATCCTGAGCCACATATTTAACAAAGGGATGGAATAGAGTGGGTACTAATGCATGGTGCTGGGAGGGAAGAATTTCTCACAGCACCTTTGTCAAATGTCACTGGCTCTTCTCAGTGCCTACCTTCAAGTTTCAAGTTGTCAAGTTTCTTCTCAGCAGATGTCCTGAACTGCCTCTTCACAGACAACCCGAGACCATGGGCATGAATTTCAGGAATTTCTTCAGTTCCTCCCTCCGCATTATGAGCATCTTCCTTCTGCATCTGCCTCCCTAATCCTGCCACTGATCAGAGGAGATAAAGCACCTCTTCCCTCTCTCTAGTTTGCTTTGCCTGGAGTCCTTAAAGTGGTCCTCTTGGACCTCTTAAGGAGCAAGTTGTTATGGCCATATCTAAAGGAATCTGTAGGCCAGGTGTGGCAGCGATTCATGCCTGTAATCACAGCATTTTGGAGTCTGAGGCAGGAGGTCTGTGAGTTCTTGGATTACATAGCATGTTCCTGGCGAGCTTGAGCTACATACTGAAACTCTTTCAAAACAAACTACCCTTCTTAACAAAGCTCTTATTCCTTATTAACTTCTTATTTCTTTTGTTTTGGTGAATTCTGGAATTTACCCTGTTGACAGTATCTTTATTGTCTTCCTCCAAATGGCAAAGCTTCCATTCTCAGTCTCTTTAATGGTTCTCTCTCCCCATTTTATTTTTCTAAAATGTTGGGAGAACACTGGCTCTGCTCTCTGCTCTATTCTGTATACTCCCTCACACATCTCACCTAGTTCTGATAAAAACCACTACCCATATGCATGACACCCAAATACAGAGTTCTAGTTCAGGCTTCATTCTGGCCCTAACATGGTTTATACAATTGTTTTCTGATATATCCAATTGCTTTCTGACATTGTACTCCTTTGTCGAATTGCTTTGTATTCTGTGTTGTCTCAATCTGAGCTCCTTTGGGGGTTCCCCATTAGTTCAACCTGCTGCTCCTGTGGCATTCTCTACCTAGGCAGCATTCCAACTGGATGACAAGGCCAGTCATCTTTGACTATACTCTTCCCTCCTCTCAAACCTAATTGAAGGAGAAGTTGTGTGATCCAAGTCTTATCTTTAATCTCCTCCTATTCATCTTTTCAGGATTTCCTCACTTCTTACTGGATTATTGCAGTAGCCTTCTTACCGGAACCACTCCTCCTTTGGTCTTAGAGGACTCAACTCCATCATCAGGAACCGTTAAAAGTGAGCTTTCAAGACACATATATGATCAGATATCTCTTACTTCAAACTCTTCCATTATTCTCTATCCCTAAGAATGAACTCTATACTCTGGACAGCTTCCAAGATCTTTCATGTTTGGACTTGGTGTATTGCTCTAGTTTTATTTTTCTCTATGTTCCAATATAAGCTATAATTTCTCATATGAATCCACATTTACATACTCTGCACTTGTAATATGTGATTCTTTTGGGAAGCCGGTTTATTTTTTACTATCATGAAAGTAAACTGAGATTTTCTTAGAATTTAGTGTAAGAGCATACATGTATACATGTGAGTGTTACATTCATTCATATTATGTCCACAAAACAAACCGCCCAGCTAATGAAAAATGAAGAAGGAAATGTACCTATTAGAATATGCCTTGGAGTCCTTGGTTATGTGTATAATTTTTATTGAATCATCAGAAACAGTAACACAAATGTTATCACACTGATTGGGAATTCTTCCATAGAATGGTAGGTTCTCAGTGAAAACAGATGGCTGATCAAACACAGTAGGTTAACAGCTTTATAGCTCAGTAGTTGTGAATGTGCCCCTCCCCTCAAATTAGAACACTTCTGGTCTGGTGTTGATTTTGTTATCTAAATATCTTGGAACAGCGACAATTCCCCATAAAATGGCAAAATCCTGTCTCACCAGGGCAGAGATACGGACTGGGTCTTACTGGCTAATATGCATCTCTTATTTGGGCAAAGTGAACTCCAGGACAAAGGGCAAGTTTATTATTTTAGAGCTACCTCTTTATTTCTTAAAGTTATTTCTTTTAATGAAGATGAAAGTTAGCACAAGAAGAAAACAGATACATATCCAAATCTGAAATGTACAGGATCCTAAAACAAAGTCTATGTGGTGATTGAGAATGCCTGCTGAACCTCCTGGAAATCTACTCAGTGTTTTTTTCCTAGTTGGCAAAATTAAGGCAAATGGGTAGAGATGAAAGCCAATGTTAATAAATAGAGCAGAAGGTCTGACCCTTTCTAAATGTGGTGTGCAATTTGCTAATAAAACCATTTATTTATTTTAGCAAAGCCACAGGTTTAGCCAGACTTTAGTTTTTATAGGTTTAATATAATTTCAGCATCATTTATTGTAATCTAACTCTTAAAAGTTTTTGACCTTGAGAATCTTGAGAAGAAATAAAGTAGGAAATATATTGGGCATATAAAAGTAGAGGTGAAATTTTCAGTAGAAAGTTAACAGTAAAGAGTAAGTTGGAAGCAGATTTCAACTTTGTGTTCAAAATAATTTGAGTCTGAGAGAGTTTTTTTTTTAAACAAACCTATTTGCTTGGCTATGGAAAATGTCATGCTCTAGGCAGGCAGTCAAAGTCTCTAATCCTGTTGAGTTTCCTCCCTAGAATAGAAAAAAAGCCAGAGTACTTGGTAGTGCTGCTCTGGAGAATAATTTTAAATTAGTGTGACTTTGAAGTGGAGCTCTTGTTGATCCCAGTAAATCTCCACTGGAGGAGAACTGACACCACCAAATGCTGGGGTTTAGAGTATTATGTGCTCAGACACCATTTGCTGGACTGATTTTAATGATCTGCTCTTCCCATCAGAGCTCCTTCTTGGCAGTACCATGCTTGGATCACTCCTGGGCTCTCATCTGCACAATTGTGTGTCGGGGGTTCTTTGTAATCTCCTCAGATGGAGAATCTTGAATATATAAAGAATCTCAGGGGTCAATGGTCTATCTAACTTCTCCCTAAGCGATTCATTTATAAGTCTAGAAAAGCCAACTATTTCCTCATTTCTGAGCTAAAGCAATATAAGCCTTTCCATCATCTTTGTAGACATGAATCCACATTAATTCAATTTTATGGTTTTTAATCTCCTTAGACATAAAGCATATATGAGTTCAGTTTGAAAGGCATAAGTTAGTACCTTAGGCTGCCTCCCTATGAGACAGGTGGGCTGTCTGTGCTGAGTTTCTGATGATATCCTCATAGGTACCCTAGAAACTGCTTTGTGATTGTTTTTTTCTTGGCCAGAAATCTCCTTGGTGGAAGCAAGATACTTGAAGGCCAGCAAGAACTTTCACTCCCTGATGGTTGCTTGTTAGGCAAATAATGAAACAGAGCAAGATCATGGCATCAAGGAGTACCTGGCCCAATGAGAGTTCCTTGTTGGTTCTTAGACTCACTCTTTTGTATAAGTCACTTCTTTTGCTCTAACGGTATTGTATAAATCTTGGCAGATTCTTTTTTTTTGTTTTCTGTCACATTTTTTTTTTTATTGTGAACATACTGTACAGAGGGGTTACAATTACACGGGCAAGATAATGAGTGCATTTGTTATCAAGCATTGCAGCCTCCTCCTTTGTTTACCCTTCACATCCCTTCCCAGCCTCCCCCTGCCCCCCTCCCACCAAAGTTGTAAAGTTCGTTTTCAACATGACAATTTGTACTTCTCATTGTTGCAACGGGTCCACCTGTATCCTTAAATGAATTGTTTTTCCCCATCTCCTCCACAAATTATACCGACATCAAATATAGTGAAAGCAGGGATTATACTGTGGGGGAAGGACATACAAAGCAACAAAGAAATAATCTTATAAATGAGTTAGAAACAAATGCATGAAAGAAAAAAAACATTTAAATACACATCTAAGGGTTCATTTTCCTAACATCACCTTATCTGACCTTTTCTGCTTGACTCATACATATACTAGATATTGCAAGTAAGGGAAACCATGGGACTTATGTTTCTTTGGGCTTGGCTTACTTTACTTAATACAATTTTTTCCAAGCCTTTCCATTTCCTAACAAATGGGGCAATGTCATTCTTTCTGATGGAGGCATAGAATTCCATTGTGTATATATACCACATTTTCTTGATCCATTCCTCTACTGAGGGGCATCTGGGTTGGTTCCATATCTTAGCTATGGTAAATAATGCTGCAATAAACATAGTTGTGCTGGTAGCTTTAGTGTGGTCTTGTTTGTAAACATTTGGATAAATGCCCAAAAGTGGGATTGCTGGGTCATAGGGGAGCTCTATGTGGAGTCTTTTGAGGAACCTCCATACTGCTTTCCAAAATGTTTGAACAAGTTTACACTCCCACCAACAATGAAGTAAGGTTCCCTTTTGTCCACATCCCCTCCAGCATCTGTTTTTGTTAGAGTTCTTGATTTTTGCCATTCTAACTGGAGTGAGGTGGTATCTCAATGTTGTTTTGATTTGCATTTCTTTTATGGCTAGGGAGGTTGAGCATTTCTTCATGTGTCTATTGGCCATCCTTCTTTCTTCTTCAGAGAAGTTTCTCTTTAAGTCTTTAGCCCACTTATTTATTGGGCAGTTGTTTCTTTGAGGATTTGTTGTTGGGGGATTTAATTTTTTGAGTTCCAAGTATATTTTAGATATGAGACCCTTGTCCGTTGTATGGCTAGTGAAGATCTTCTCCCAATCCGTGGGCTTTCTATTGATCTTGCTAGCTATGTCCTTTGCCATGCAGAAGCTCTGCAACTTCATGCAATCCCATTTGTCCAACCTTTCTTTGATTTGTTGTGTTTCCAGGTCTCTAGTAAGAAAATTTCGGCCTGCGCCAAGGAGACCTAGGGTTTCTCCTGTTCCATCCTGTAATGTTTTCAGAGTGTCTGCTTTGACTCTGAGGTCTTTGATCCATTTGCAGTTGATTCTGGTGCAGGGTGATATATAAGGATCTAGCTTTAGTTTTCTACAAGTAGTTAACCAATTTTGCCAGCACCATTTACTGAAGAGGCTGCCTTTCTTCCATTCTATTATTTTAGCTCCCTTATGGAAGATTAGTTGGCTATAGGTCTGTAGGTTCAATTCTATTCCATTGGTCCTGAGGTCTGTTCTTGTGCCAGTACCAAGCTGTTTTGATTACTATGGCTTTATAGTAGAGTTTGAAATTTGGTATTGATATTCCTCCAGCAGTGTTCTTTCCGTTGAGGAGCGTTTTTGCTATTCGGGGTCTTTTATTGTTCCATATGAATTTTTGGATTGCCTCTTCTATTTCCTTGAAGA